TATGAACAATGCAAGAGATATTGCCATGTCATCACATTTATTCTTTAAACAGCTTGTAAATCCTTAAATTATTTTTTTGCATTCTCATTTGTTATATGGTTTATTGTAAATATCTTTTAATTTTGTAATTAATAGTATTTTTCACTTTTGATGCAGTAATTATTGTGTTTGCATTTATGTATCTTTTGTGACTGAAAATGGGGAGAATACTTTGATGATGATGATGATGATGATGATGATGATGATGTTTATGATTATGATTATGATTATGATTATGAAAAAAATAAATAAACTGTTACCTCAAAAAATTCTTTCATCCAGATTGGCATCAAAGTATCAGGCTGTGAAATAAATAGAATGGAATAATTTATAACAACAAATAATCACGATACATTACCTATGCGATATACAGATTGTATACATTGTTGATTTGTTCTTTCCACACCAAATGTAGAACACAGGGTGCAATGTATACAATATAGTCCATTTTCTGTATTCCACACACCATAGCTGTAAGGAAATAAGTATGACCTCTAAAACCAGGTTACATACTAAACCAGTCAGGCTTCGAGTGTGTGTTTATTTTACAGTATTGACTGGCTACATACCAAACGTCAGCCCGAAATAATTCTAATATAATGAACTATATCCACTACGCACTGCACTGACTGCATGCCTGGCGCAGCAAGACATGATATATCGCCTACCAAAAATACAACTAACTGATCGGTTGTTCTGACTACGGACAAAGGGAAAGTGGCTGAATTCATGCTCTGAGATTATTTATCAAGTGACATACCTCTTCGAAAATGGATCCAACATTGGCCGTAATTAACATTACGTTAGCAAGCTTTTCTGTCGCCATATTTCTAGTTGACGTTGACAAATCAATAAATACAAACTAAGCACAACAACGCGACGATCGACGCGGTGCAGGCTACTACGTCCAGAGAATAGAACTGTCAATGCTTTGCCGATTGCGAGTAACGCTGATCGATGGATCCAATGAACACAGTCGTAATTCTCCGACACTGCAAGTGTATCGCTCAAGTCTACCGACTGACTGCACTGCTCACTCGTATATCACGATCTTGGGCTACCTAAGGTTAAACATGTTTCCGCCACTTCATACGATCGTACATACATGGGCTGCTCTGTCACTCTATTTATGATGGTATTACTTTAGTGGGAATTCTACCCACAGTCCAACTCGGTATTATCATAAATTACCGGCACCGGCAAATATGGGAAATCATTGAGCTGTATAGCGGCCTCAATGTTTTTTTTGCATGTGCACACAAAGTGATGACGCAGTTGTTTATTGCGAACGTGTTACACTGACCTATCTTTCTAGCTCTGATCGCAGTGTGCCCATGTTTCGGAAATGTTAAAACGTCACAACTAAGAGAAAAACGTCACAAATCAAATTATGAGTTTTATTTCCTTTCCGCAAGTCCACGTAGATTCATAAAGTACGGACACAAATAAACTGCACGAGGGCTTTATAATAATGTTGTTTTGCGGTAACCCGGCTTTCGCCATTTATGCATATTGTTTTATTGAAAATTCACCAAAAAGCAAAGAGACTGTATGCAAGTCCAGTTATATGTTGCTACCGCGTTAATTTTTTTTTATTAATTTATGTTTTTAATTACAGAAATTATTTGGTATACCGGGTTACAAATATTGTGTACTTTATTTTTTTGTTCGTACATGTAATATCTATAATCTTTCAAGCGCCCATACCGTTACGTTTTATCAAAAGGCTGGTCACTTTGTATTCTCTTGTATTTGTGTATTTGGTTTTATCGTGGAGCTACCTCCATGGTTTTATCCTGTGAAAGTTTCAAAATTCAATCACCGGAGATTGAGGGCGCCACTCAGTCTGTTCGTGGCCTTTCAGGGTCGATTTGTAGCTATGACGATAAAGAGAAACACTATACATACACTAAAATAATGTGAATGAGTAAAAACGCAGAAAAATATTGAAGAAATATAAAAAACGTTCAATGTAGGATAACAAACTTAAAATTAATGTCCAAACTGATTCTGCAGATCCGCCGCCTACGTCAGATCTTGATGAAAACAATTTCAAATTACATGTACGTCACTGAGAATTACATCATGTGATTAATTATTCATTAAGACGTTCGATTTGGACAAACAAATGAGTAAATAAACTGAAACCGTAAAAGGCGACAGACCCATTAATACGAGAGGCGTTCAATAAGTAATGCCCCTGACCCAGTTTTCATAGCAGGAGATTAATTAACTCGTAACTGTTTTGGCGTTCAAATAATTTCACCAGGGCCATGATCAGACAATACACTTATTTATTTTAATGTATTTTCTTTGCACTTGTCTGGACATTATAAAGTTACGATAAGTATATTCTAAACCTACAAAGTGTCATTATTATTTCAGTGATTCCACATTACTATGTATTCTCTCTTATATTTATTTTTTAGTTAAATTTGAATATAAAAATGTTTCATTTCGTCTAAAACCCAATTTTTAGGGCCAAATTCTCCCACCAAGTTCGATGTCAGCATCATCACTCAGTATTCAAACTGTTAAATGTGCGGGATTCACATCACATATGATTTGCTTATTTTATGCGTGCATTACGATTGGCGGTCAGGGGTGAATGTACGTGTGGGAAACTGAATACAATCAAGATCGAGAACTAAAATAACTTATCGCCCAGCCAATCAGAATGGACAATCCGTTTTTCAGGTGGTATAACGCACGCATATCAACTCCATTGCGCAGTAAATCTGGGTCACTGTTATAACGAATGTACACCACATATTGAAAACGACTCGGTGGGTAGATTTTTTTTATATTTTATTCAAAATTTTATTTCTGCAACCGAGCTGCGCTTGTGGATTATTACTAATACACAATTATGGTTAATGTGCAAATGTATTGCAATATGAAAAATAGTCCTAAGAGAATCGTGTATTCTAATTGTTGATGATATTGGTCATGAAATGTCCAGAAATGTCAAAATCGAGATGTTATTGCTGGACCCACTGCAAACGCCATGGTAACTCGTTAATTTCCATAAGTTAAATCAATTATAAACTCCACGTATTACATGAGAAATGGTGTGCAAGCAAACCTCCTGATATGTTTTCCTGTTTGCCAGTATTTTCATCCTTTTTCAGTAAGGGTCTATCGTGTTCTTCACGGATTTCGTTAATACGACTAAATGTACATATATACAAACGTACGATATTTCTCTATTGTTGATGACGTTATCAGTCACATGATGTCTGCTTATTTCAGATAATGAGTTAATAGTCTGGACTATCAAGATAATACAAAAATTGTCAGAGCATGAGCTGGTGATTTGTTTACTGTGGATTTGTTTGTAATAGCTGACAACAAGAGTTTTTGTAGTTAGTTCATAAAATAATGTACTTTGATATTTTCAAGACATAGTAAAATATAATACACGTCGCTAATGATTTCTGTACTATAGACTTTGAACCAGTCTCTTGGACTGTGGACCATTGAACCATTAACATTTATATATATATATATATATGCCTCTGATATCTAGGACAGTACCTGTGCAGTACCGACCACGATGGACGCCTTCCACCCTGTCCCAGTTAAAGTAAATCCAGATCTACAAAAGGAAAGAGACGCTGCCACTTTTAATCCCGTAGAACTCACTTACATGAGGGATGGTGGAAAAGACAATACAGCAAGGCGAAGACGTTGTGGTGAGTAACATTTTTTTTTTCACGTTAAGTCCCATCACGCTGCTCTACAAACGCAAACACACACTGCTAAATATGATAATAAAAATGAAATGCTTTGCGTTGGAGAACATATAGATGGATTTATGGCTTGTATAATAATACATTAATCAAATTTGTAATTATTTGTATTTGGAATTTTGGTTTTGCTAAATTTTTGACAAATCATGGACATGCTCTTCATTTTCAATTAAATTATTGATTAGTCCAGTCAGCGGTGTCTTAGGTATCATGTGCCCGAGTAGCTTAATTGCTGTTATTAATTCTGAGTTTGGAAAATATTACATGAGAATATCGACCCTGTCAGGCAATGCCGCCTCAATGGGAAATCTGTAAATCTGATGTATTTGTCAAGGATTGAATCTTTTGTTTAAACCTTATATGTACTGAGGCGAAATACTGATACTTTTGAACGTCAATTTATGTTGTCATGATGTTCCTTCACCTTAATGTTGCGAAGTTAAAGTGAAGTGCAAATTAATGTGTGGCATCAGGTTTTCTATCAATGATTCACGATTGTTTAACACACAACTGAATAGAAGTCCAATAACAACCTTAACCTTTTGCGAGTTCGTGATATTAGTTTTGTAGTTCTATTTTTCATCATAATTTACGCGTTTATGTATTTATTTATGCATTTATGGGTTTATCCAATTATACACTTGTCCAATTGCAATCCATTCTGTCTACTATTGGTATATAATTCATTCCTTCTGAATATTAAGTTATTATTATTTTTTATATTTTATTCTTTTGTTCAGTTGTGTACCAACCAAAGTACTCTTTTTGTTTTGATGTCACTACATATAGAAAATGTAAACAGCATTTAACCGTGTTGGTGTATCATATGACAGTTATAAATACCATCACAATTCTGTGAAATATACCGAGAGAGTCAATGACTTTGATGACTTACTTTTTACAGAATTGTTGGCCATCAATGACCCTGATCTTCAACATAAGGACATATCTTTCATGTCACGGAATGAAAGATACAGTAATGCTGTCAGAAAGGCAGTTATTATAGCAAGAAAAATAAAAGAGCATAGACTGAATATGAAGGAAAAACAATTGTACATATCGTAAGTAAATCAGTAAATTGTCAATG